GAGCTGGGCAAAGAGCCCGTCTGCACTAAATTAATTAAATCACGCGCGACCGATCGACAGAAGAGGAGAAGGAACAGCAAAAGGACGAAACGCGGGAGGCGAGGGGCGGGGGGACGGAACACCGCACCACTACCTTCGGACGCCACCCCCCCAGAAGGGGCCACAAGCCGCAGGAAGGCAGGACCGCCCCCGACGACGACGACGACGACGACGACGGCGACGACGACGACGACGACGACGACGACGACGACGACGACGGCGGAGGCGGCGGCGGCGACGACGACGAGAGAAGATGGGAAGAGGAAGGAGGGAGGGGGCCGCAACAGCGGAAGGAGGGGGAGACAGGGGAGAGGGGAAGAGGAGGGAGGGAGGCTGCAGCAGCAGAAGGAGGGGGGGGAGAACGGAGCGGTCCCCTGCCACCCCAGGCGTGGGGCCCCCAAGGGGAGGCGGTGGGGCGGACCAAACGTGCCACTCACAGACCGGTGCTGGCGTTGTCGCTGGTGTAGGCGATTGCGTTGGTGCCGGCGTCGGTGCAAGTGTTGATGCTGGTGTCGGTGCTGGCGTCGTCGCTGGCGTAAGCGCCAGCGTGCGCTCTTGGGCCACTGGTGAGCCGCGCAGCTCACCAGTGCGCTGGTGTCGGCGCTGGCGTCGGCGCTGGGGTGGGACCTGGCGCTCGTGCTGGCGTCGGTGCTGGCGTTGTCGCTGGTGTAGGCGCTTGCAATGCTGGCATCGGTGCTGGTGTCGATGCATTTTTGCTGGCGTAACGATGGTGCTGGCATCGGTGCCGGCGTCGGTGTTGGACGTCGGAGTGGGGGAGTCGGGGTTGGTGTTGGAACTGGTACTAGCGACCAGGCTGGAGGGAACACCGGTGAGCTGGGCAGCTCACCGGTACACCCTTGCTGCTGGCGTTGGTGCCGGCGTAGGCGCAGGCCCAAGTACTTGCGTCGGTGCTGGCGTCGGCGCCATCGTTGGTGCTGGCGTCGGTGCTGGTGGAGGCGCTGTCGTTGATGCTGGCGTCGGTACTGGTGTCGGCGCTGACGCACGCGTAGCGTCACACGATAGGTGGGCCAGAATTCCGTGACGCACCAACTCCGTGACATTTAGACTCTGAGCCGGATCCGCAAGAGCTTCACAACACATCGAGCATGTCATGAATTTCGGAGCCAGTATCCGCATCTACAAGTCAAGACGCAACGAGCATGTCACGAATTTCGGTGCTGGCGTATGCGCTGGCGTAGGCGCTGGCGCGCGTTACTGGGACACCAGTGGCCCGGGTAATTAGCTTACTGGCGCGCTGTCGACGGTGGTGGCCGCAGCGCTGGTGTAGGCGCTGGTGCTCGTCTTGGCGTCAGGGCTGGCGTCGGCGCTGGTGTAGGCGCTTGCGTTGGTACCGGCGTCGGTGCCGGCGTTGATGCTGGTGTCGGTGCTGGCGCCAGCGCCGGTCTTGGGCAAACGTAAGTGGGGACTTTGGCACATGTAAATTGATGGATTTGTCCCCCTTATCTGGACAACCCTCGACCAGAACGAATGAGAGGCGCTCTTCGGTAGTTTAGCAAACCAGTGCAGGCAAAGCAAGCAATGCGGATGACCAAGAATCGCCCGCGTCCCGTTGCGTTGCTGGCACGGGTGTCGCGTTGCGAAATGACTGGTCAAGGGTAGTTCAGGTTCTTCCAGCATGATCACGGTGGAGAAGGACCGAACAACAAAGGAATGGGAATCCAGACGAAAAATGCGCGAACGCCTTCCAAGAGGCACAGTCGATTAGTAAAACTCGTGGAAATCGGGAAGGCACGCAACTCTCCTGGAGCCCCCGGCGGCGACGTCAGCCCCCGCGTCCTCCACGACCGTTTCCTCGAAGGTCGTAGTCGTAACGGCACCGATGTCCGACGCACCCCGTTGGCGGATAAGGTGGCGAAGCGGATGGACGTCGTTCGTGGCCATCACGTTGTGTCGGGCCTATACGATGCATTCATGGTTCCTCCCCCTCCCTCCGCGCCTTCTTTTTCCTGCTCGATCCTCGATAAATGTTTACGGCGTTTCCTCTTCCGTTTTCTTTCTTCTCCTTCGGGGATGGGTTTGCCCCTCCCCCCCCTTCCCCCCCTGGGTCTGGAAGGGGGGGGGCGCGACCGATTGGAACGTCCAAGACGGCCTCGGCGAGAAGGCGCAAATCATGTGTTTCACGGAGGTTTTGGGCCAATTCTGGCCTCCTGATGGGGGGCTAATGTAGCCCGCCCTCTTTGATTGATATCCTCCAAGATGGCCCCAACATGCCTCCCCAGGCTCTCAAGAGCACCCCAAAAGGGCCCCAAGAGACGCCCAGGAGGCTCCAAGAGGCCCCAATAGGCTGCCTGGAGACACCAAAGACTCCACCTCTCCGTCCTCCTCTTCCTCCTTTTCGTCGTCCTCCTCTTCCTCCTACGATTCTTCCTCCATCCTCCCCCTTTTGGGGTATCACGGCTCCCAGAGCCCTTTGTTCCACGGCATGCTCCTCCATGCCCCTGATGCGGGCAACCCGCCAGGGAATCGTTTCTCGACGGGCTGGTAGGGCTACTTTTTGTTCGCGAGCGCAAGCGGAAGAGCCGCGCGCCGTCAGGAAAATGCCAAGTACCAAAGACCTAATTTACAACAGCCTAAAGCGGGACCGAACGCGTGCAGCTATCAAACGGCGGAAACATGTAAGCTACGCAGCGGTGCAGGCTCAACCGCCGCTCAGACGGCGAGGACAAACATCGGTCCTAACTGGCGGTGGGTTCCATGGCGCCCACATTGCAATAGCGTCACCCTCGACATACCTCTTCTCGGCGTCAGGTCTGCATGTGTCGAGTGCAGAACCAGCACCCCGCCGCAATCGTCAGGAACGATGTTGCGTAACCACTTCCCGTGGGCGAGCGGGCCGTCGAGGAAGGCGTGAGCCAGTGCTGACGATGAGAGCCTGCATCCAGAGGACGCCCAATCGACGATGCGTTCTGCCCGAACAAGCGGCGCACCACGGGTCATGGCCCCCGGGCGGAACCAGCGTAGAGAGCGACGGGGGCCGAGGCCACGGTCGCACTGTGGGTGGGCCCGGGCACTCCTGCGGGGGGACAGCCGCAAAGGGAGAGACGGCCTGGACCAGAGTATCTGCTGGCACCGGCCCCAGCGGCCCGGGGGGGGGGTGCCGAGGGCCACGGTCGCACTGTGGGTGGGGGACGCAGCTAACAGCCGCAGAAATAGTGAAGGCCTGGGCACCTCCTGCGGGGGGACAGCCGCAGGAGGAGGGACGGGCCGGACGGACCAGGAAGGCGGCTGACCGCCGCGAGAGCCTGGGATCACAGTGGGTGGGCCCGGGCACCTCCTGCGAGGGGACAGCCGCAGGAGGAGGGACGGACCTGGACGGATCAGGGAAGCGACTCACCGCCGCGAAAGCCTGGGTCCATGAGGCGAAGGTGCGTGGGGACGGGGACGAAGGGGCGGACGGAGGGCGGGTGAGGGGATGCAGCTCAACAGCCGCAGAGTCAGTGAAGAGCCCGGGGGGGCAGCAGCCGCTGTGGGCTGGTGGGGCTTACGCGAAGCGTCTAGAATATGTGTGTTGAATGAAGCGCGAACTTGTACTTCTGGTCATGGGCTTCGAGGAAGTCTCAAGCTACAACCCCCTTTTGAACAGGAGGCGCGCTCCATCCGTGCAGCTGGGTATCTGTTCAAGTTTCTGGTCCGGATTTGTGGAGAAATTTCAAACGACGGTCCCATGTTGAACAGGAACCGTCCCCCCATCCCTGTAACCACTACGATGTGTACAACGAATGCGCGAGGCGCTAGGGCGATAACTGACTTTTGAGAAAGACCCTCCATCCTGGTAGCCATTGCACGCTTTTAGTCGACTAATATGGTGGCTAAGGCGAGAGCTCAACTTAAACGACGATCCCATGCACCTTGTAACTGTTGAAAGCTCTTACAACGCATGTTCGCAGCGCTAAGACGAGACAGCCATTCTGGAAATGAGACCAACACGACCCCAACTGGGGGTATTCTTTGTTCCGCAGCAGTGGCACATTGTTCTGAACAGTTCAAGACAAGGCAATGCAAATTTCTGCTTGGCATTGATTAGCATTGCTTCGATGTGCTTTGCATTGCTGGGCATATCTTGGCATTGCTTGGCGTTGTCTGGCATTGCTCAATGGCATGGCCAAGCGATGCCGAGGAACCCCGAGGACCACGAGCAAAGCCGGCGGCCGCCATTGCAAAACATCGCCGAGGAACATCGCCGAAGAACCTGGAGGAACACCGGGGGTGGAGGACCCGGCACCTACCGGCTTCATTCACAGACCTCACAAACCTCAGGGCAGTGCCAAACTGGGGAACCACCCCACCTTCATCTCTGTAGCTGTTGCAAGCTGTTTAGACGAATGTGCGCGGGGCTAAAGCGAGAGCCTCATTTTGAAAACCACCCTCTCCATCCTTGCAGCTGTTGCAAAGTAAGGAGAATGTGAGCGGTACGAAGTCGAGATCCTGATTTTGAAAACGATCCCCCTACATCCGTGTGTTCCATTTTACACTCTTCAGGCTCATCAGTGGCATCTCAGCCGCAACGCCCAGCCCGCCCTACCGCCTACCAACACGTCTGGAGGTGCGACAAGGAAGGACTTCTGCAGCATAGTGCGGGTGCCTCTTGTGGTTTTCGCAGGCTTTCAAAAACCTTCAGGGGCCCTCCAGAAGCATCTGGAAGCTGTCTGGAGTTTTCCGAGAATTGCCAGCATTGCGCCGCGGTTTCACGCTCCGCCCGACTTCTCAGCTTTTTCCTGCTCTCTTTGCAGTCTCAATGCTCCCTCTCGGCTGCTGCTGTTGCAGCTCGCGCCCCGTACGGCCCCAGCTGCTCCGACCGAGTCGGTTGAGTCTGGCCAGCGTAACAGTGAGGCGGACGAGGAAGGAGGGCAAGAAGGAAAGGGTTGAGGGGGATAAGCAGGATTGGGGCGAACGGCGATGACCGGGAAGAGGACGACGATTAGGAAAGCACTCGCGCGGTCCTCCACGAGTGTGGACGGATAGACCCTGTCGTCGTCCACGACGATCACCTGCGGCGTCCGCTCGGGTCGCCAAGGGGGAACGGGAGAAGAGGAGGAGGAGGAGAAGGAGGAGGAGGAGAGGGCCACCCTTTGCGCTGGCCTGAACTCGGCTAATTGGTCGGAACGTCCACGAGTGTAAAAAAGACAGAGACGGAACATGTAGTATGAGCGGCCGCATGGGAGAAGCAGGGCTGCAGTGAGGCACAGTGAAATAAAGGTTTGTCTGGAGAGACGCCAGAAAGCGCAACAATCTGTGCTCAGGAGAAAGAGACGACAACGATAGAGGAGGAGGAGGAGGAGGAGGAGGAGGAGGAGGAGGAGGAGGTTTCAACGATGTTGCAATGAACCCTCCCTCCAAATGCCCTCTTCACAGCCCCCTGCAACAATCTATTTTCATTGCGGGGATCGCCCCGTTGAAAGACAAGCGTCTGAGAATCCCCAATCGTGCCGAAGAACTGCTCCTGATACCAGAACGCCGCGAATCAACGTGACTGCTGGGTCGTGGGAATCATCATTCGTGCCAGGACACCGTTCCTGGGATTTCAACACCGCGAATCGACGTGACTATTACAACCGACCAGTCCTGAATCGTGTTAGAAAGCCGTTCCTGGTACTTCAGCCATGCGAATCCTTGAAACTGTTGTGAACGTTTACTACGAATGAGCGCAGCGGTAATGCGAGGGCCACATTCTGAAAACGAATCGCCCTCCATCCTCGAAGCTGTTGCAAACTGTTTAAGCAACGAGTTGGCGCGGCGTTAAAGCGAGAACCATATTTTGTACAAGGACGTGCCCTCCATCCTTGAAGCTGTTGCACAGTGAACAGAGCGAGTGTGTGCGGCGCTAAATCGAGAGCCGAATTTTGAAAATGACCCACCCTCAATCCTTGAAGCTGTAGCGGGCTTTTGGGGCGAATCTGCGAGGTGCTCAGGTGAGAGCAGCATTTTCAAAACCTTCCGCCCTTCATTCTTGAAGCTGTTGCACACTTCCAGCTTCAAGACCAGAAGATGTGAGGAAGTCTCTAACGAAACGCCACGCCTGCCCTACCGAAATGTTTGGGAGCGCGTCAAGGGGGGAGTTATTCAGAAGAAAAACGGATGGCGGAGGAAACGGAGGAGGACCAGTATAAACCCAACACGCATCAACGATGTTGCAAGAAACCCTCCCTCCAAGCTCCGTCTTCATAGGTCCCTAAAGAATGGTTTTCACTGCGGGAAATGCCCTGGGAGTTCAATGCCGCGAATCAGCGTGGCTGTAACCAGGATGGTAGTTCAAATTCGTGCCGTAACACTGTTCCTGGGACTCCAACACCGCGAATCACCGTGGCTGCAGCGTCCTAGCAATCTGAAATCGTGCTGTTCCTTGGACTTCGACCCTGCAGATCATTGGAACTGCTTCGTTTGTGCAACGAATGCGCGCAGCGCCAAGGCGAACACCACATTCTGAAACGGACCCGCCCTCTATCCTTGAAGCTGTTAAAAGCTTTGAACATGCGACATGCCCTCCATGCTTGAAGTTGCAAGCTTTTAAAACGAATGCACGCGACGCTCAATGGAAAACTGCATTGGACAAACCACCCGCCCTCCATCCTTGAAGCAGTTGTAAACTTCAAGCTTCAATATCATATATTGTGAGGAAGTCTCAGGCGGAGCGCCCAGCCCGCCCTACCGACACGCTTGGGGGTGCGACAGGGGGGAATTATTCAAAAGGAAAACGATGGAGGAGGCGGAGGAGGAGGAGGAAGAGGAGGAAACATCGTCGGACATCTGGCTTTCGGATCATAGCTCGGGTCCCTGATGGCCGTTCGGGGCGGCTCGGGTACCCCTGGAAATCTCTAAGCGATGCGCAGCTGCTGAGGCGGGAAAGGCTCTCAGAGCCAACGGAAGCATCCGAAAATCTCGGGGGAACGGCCCCTCGAGGCAGGAGGTGCGGCGGCCCTCCCGCAGAACGGAGTGCGCGGCGGCAGCGACGGTGCGGAACCAGCGTGGGGGCTCCGGTTTGCTGCGCTCGCTGGGCTGTGGGCACGATGTTCGTGAGGGCCAGCCAGTCATCCTCTGGAGGCTGCGGGGGGATCGGCTCCTCCCACGTCGTCGTCCTCCACCTCGCCCTCCTGAGGGCGGGGCATCGCCTCCCTCACCTCGGGAGCGGGGCGTGGAGGAGGAGCAGATCCTCCTCCTCCTCCTCCTCCTCCTCCTCCTCCTCATCCTGCTGGAAGGGGAGATGTGCAGAATCAGCTCCTCCTCCTCCTCATCCTCCTCCGCCTCCTCCTCCTTTTCCTCCTGGGGTGGGGGGGCACAGAATTCGCCAACATCCACCAGGAGGACGAGCCAGCCGATCCTCCTTATCCTCTTCCTCCTCCTCCTCTTCCTCCTCCTCTTCCTATCTCCTCCTCCTCCTCCTATATCCTATCTCCTGTCTCCTATCTCGTCCTCCTCCTCCTCCTCCTCCTCCTCCTCCTCATTGGGAGAGGGGGGGCAGAAAGGGGGTGTAGGCGACTCAGCTGAATGCAGCTGGTTTTCCCTGCCCCAACCTACGCGCAACAATTTTCGTATACCTCCGAAAAGGGAGGAGGAGGAGGAGGAGGAGGAGGAGGAGGAGGAGGAGGAGGAGGAGGAGGAGGAGGAGGAGGAGAAGGAGGAGGAGGAGGAGGAGGAGGAGGAGGAGGAAGCGAGGAGGAGGAGGAGGAGGAGGCGGCGGCGGCGGAGCGATATCGGGCCGAATGTCTCGTCTGCCGTGAGACCACATAGCGGGCAACGCGAAGCGCAATTCGACTATGTGCGACCAATCGTGCGCTACACTAGCGAATGACTAATGCCCCCTCCAGGGGGGGAGCCCCGAGTTGACTTCGCTCGACCCCATTCACCAAGCGACACCTCGGGAAAAGACACGCAGGAAAAAAACAAACACACACGGCCCCCATGATCCAGGGGCCGCTAGTTTCGTGTCGCGAGTGCGACGAGAGCTTTGAAACTCAGAGCGGAGGACGAGGAGACCCTCGGATGACGAGGGGGAAGGCTCGAAGGACGAGTAGGGGGAGAACGGACAGCGATAGCAACAGCACAGCGAGCGGCCTCCTGGAACTCAGGCATCACGGGCCTCGAACCCTCAGTCGACCCGCCCGCTCTCGACGACAGCGAAACTCTCCCCGACGGCGTCACCGAAGCAGGACTGGTGCTCTGAGCCGTTGGCGACGACACCCTCCCCGTCAGCGCCACTGCAGCAAAACTGGTACTCTGCGCGGACGGCAACGACACTCTCATCGACAAGTCCATCGATGTCGACCTGCTCTTCGGATCTGCCGCTGCCCGAAGTAGGTACTGTACGGCCGCCCCTTGACTCACGATACCCTCTTTATCTTGAGTAGCACATACTTCAGCACCCTGCTCTGCCACATTGATTTCGGGTCCTGCTGTAAGTGGCGACGGCGATGCCTGGACCGCCCTCGAGGAGCAGGCAGCCAGGACTTGCGATCTGACGCCTCCCTCATCCTGAGCGTGCTGGTCCAGCTGTAGGCGGCTGTGACGCATTCTGACTCCAGCTGATCCAGCTATACGTGGCGACGTCGACGCCTGGACCGCCCTCGAGGAGCAGGCGGCCAGGACTTGCGATCTGACGCCTAGAGCTCGAACTGGTCGAGCGCGAGCTGCAACACTCTCTCCGCGTGGCTGCGCGGGGCCATGCCTGGGCGAACCTGGCCACCCATCTGAGTCACGCACTCCTGGAAGCACCGAGCCATCAGGGGGTCCGCCAGGCTGAAGACCATCTTGGCGAGCCCCTCCTTGAACGCGCTCGACACCCTGAAGCCCTTGACCAGCGCCGTGATGTCTGCGATCGACTGAGCTCCGTCGAGCCGAGCCTGCTGCTCCTTCCAGTTCTTGGCGTTGACCATCCCTACTTTGTCGCCCGCCTCGCTCACCTTCTTCGCCACCGCGAGGAAAACCTGCGCACGCGCTGGGCCCATCAGAACTTCTGGCAACGGCTTGTTGGGATCTTTCGCGTTCTCCTGGCGCATCCTCGCCGCTTCTGCCGCGTATCCACGACCCGCCACGAATCCTGCCTGGACCAGCTCGTTCTCCTCTGGGATCGTCATCGTGATGAACTCCGCCGCCATCACCATCCTCAGCGTGTAGCAGTTGCCCAGGACCGCCCGCATCAGGATTGGGGAGACCTTCGCCATTGTCTGCGCGTCCATCGGAGGCAGACGATCCAGCGTGTCTGCTGGGATGCCGTACGACTTACCCATCTCCATAGCCAAGTCTGGTCCTTCCCGTCGTGCTGCAGGTGCGCTCTGGCCTGCCGAGCGGACGGCATCACTGGTTGCTCCGAGCCTACGCCTCCGCGCTGCTGAGGTGGCTGGCTGCGACGAGCTCCGCCTCCTTGCCGTCCTCCACGCTGGTGGGAAGCGACTGCCGAGCCAGAGCGGTGTCTGCGCGAGCCTCCCGACCTGGCCGACTTGGAGCGGTGTCCCGCGGCCTCCAGGACCTCTCTGCTCAAGCGGTACATCAGCAGCGCTAGAAGTGAGAGGCCGTCGAGGGGCGTGTGTCAGTAGGTGCAGGTTAAGCTCGGCTCGATCCTGAAAGGGCTCCGTACGGCCGCAACACATATCGTTCAGGTTGGCTTTAGACTTGGTCCCGAACACCGAGGCCACCGTCAGCTCAGACATGGGACAGTACAGGCTCTGGGGCTCCATGACGGGGTGGAAGAAGGGCGTGACGTTCGAGGGGCACCGATTTTTTAGTACAACCTGAACCGCGTGCTCCTGAGCAATCCTCCTGGTGCGGAACTTCTGGTGGCAGAAGATACATTCGTTCGTGATCGTGATGGTGTGGATCGCTGACCTACAGGAGGGTCCTCCGCCCTTCGAGAACCTTTGATGGGCCGCTAGGGCCCTGCGGGTCCGAAAGACCCTCCCGCACTTCTTGCCCTCGGAGTCCTCCAGCTCACAGGTCCAGCACGCCGTCGGTGGCGCGGGATCCTTTTGAGCACCGTCATGAGCCTCGATGTCCACTGGAGGTCCGTACAGCCCAATAGGAGGAGGTATTGCGACCGTCTTGGCCGCTGCCCGTAGAACCCCAGGATCGAGCGCCAGGAACAGCTCCCGAATATCCTCGTCCAGGAAGAGGGCCCGCACACACAAACGTTCGGAGGGTTCTGCAGAGGGCCCTGTGAAAAGCCACGACTCGAGGAGCTCCGCCTCGGACCTCCGCGCGAGCTCCAGGATGTCTGCTGCGAATCGCTTCGCGAAAGGATTGGCGTGCGGATGAAGCCAGCCCTGCTCGCACAACGTGGGGCAGCTTTCCACTGGCAGCTGGCCCACGATAGCACCTAGCGCCTGCGGGTTAGAGCCAGGACGGCGCACCCATCTCTGGTACTGTCTCGGGCGCCTCACTCTCAGCTCCACTCCAGATGGGGCGATGCCAACACGACGCAAGACAGCAACATCGGTGAGAACAAAATAGCGAAGAACGGGTTTGCCCCAACAGTCCAGAACAGGCCGTCCTCCTTCGTCCTGTTCCTCCACCTTCTGACACGCATCCCCTCTCAAGAGCTTTCTGGCGAAACCGACGAGCACCCGGTCGAGTCGAAGTTCTTGCGGTACCGTGAGCACCAAAGTCGTTAGACCCGAGAGAAGAGCACCCTGGACGACGGCCCCAAATACCGTGCGCGTGAAGCGCCAGACTCTGTTCTTTGCCCAGAACTTGCCCATGGAGTAGTAACCCCGCCTATATGCCAGTATGCGCCTCTCGAGCTCTCCCTGGACTCCCCCATTCACGGCCGTCTGAATACCCAGCGCAATGTTATCAAACTGCACCTGGCCAGGGAGGGAGACGGCACCTCCGAACACTGCGGCATTTTCAGCCTTTGATCCTGGCCCGACGAATGATGGAGAGACGGTGCTTTTTCCGGAATTATGGGCGTAGCCGTCCTTCGACAGCGCCTCTCAAAGGTGCACGTGTGCCTGCTCCAGCGTGTACTTGGCATTCTTGGCTGAGCTGACGATGTGCGTCTTGTTCGTGTCGTCGGCGTAGACTCTGCGCGACAGGTCGACGGGCCGCTGGGGGATCGGTGTCCACGCCGTGCACATCGCTTCAGTCGGCCACAATATCATATCGGGATTGGCTGGCGGTACTGCGGGGGCGAGCGCCTGATCCACCCACTCCCCGTAGGTCTGTGGACGGGCAGGAGCCTGCCCATGCCAAGTCTGTGACCACAGCTGACCCAGCCATTGTTGCACGGGCTGCCTGAAGGTCCTCGCGAAGAACACAGCCGCGGGAGTGTCCCCCATGTACGCGCCGCACAGATTGTGCAGCGTTGCCTCCCCGTCCGAACCCGTGATGGTGAACGTGCTCGTCTCATGCCGCTGGTGGAAGTACACCTGCGAGTCGTCTCGAGTCGAAGCCTCCGCCGTGCGTCGCAGCGCCGAGAAGGTCGTGCAGCCGAAGGCATTGGCCATGCCCTCCTTTGATGTGACCGACGAGATGCCCAGCTTCCGCAGACGCCACAGCAGTGCTTCCTGAAAGGTGAGCGCTCCTTCTCGACCCCGATCTTTGTGATACCCATGCTCACGATCGGGAGCAGCGTCTGCATGGCCTCGCAGAAGCTGAGCTTTGTACCACAGCACCCCCATTCGGCACAAGCCATGGATATAGCGACGCGCTGAGAAGCCCTCCTTCCCGTTATGCTTATCCAGGCCTGTGGCTTGCGAATGATGCCATGCAACTGGCGTCCGCTGCACCCTCCGAATATGATGGGAAATCTCCTGCGACGCCGACATGCTGGCCTTATTCGGGATCTCCTCGACCGTCTCGACTCCATGCCCTCGGCGATCCCCCGCCAAGCGGCGCCGTGGGGCGAACTGTGGCCGCTAGGCAGCGTCGGCGCCATCATCCCCCTCATCATTCTCGCGTCTCCGTCGGTGAGACCCATCAAATCGACGAGTCGGATCGAGAACGATCGTGATCAGCTCGGGCGGGATCGAGTGCAACGGCGAAGCCTTGCGCCGGGGTGCCTTCTCTGCTAGAGCCTGAACCGCCTCGAGATCATCCCATCCCTGCTCCACGTGAAGAAAGTTGCCCACCCCGAAGGGTGGGGGCCTCGGGGGATCCTCTGTCACCTGCCTCAGGTACTGGCTGAAGACGACGGGCGCCGCAGCGAAGCCCCCCTCGTGCCCAGGGCGCTTGCAGTGCTCCTGAATCTCCTCTACAAGCGGTGCGTGCGCCTGCGCCGCGGCGAACTGCCTCTTGCGAGGTCCACTGCATTTCCCTGCCAAGACGTGGGCAAGGCGCCAGACCTCGGCATGTCTCCGACCCTTCCAAGCTGCATCCAGTTCAGAAGTGAGCTGCTCCATCGCAGCCACGGAATGAGCACGACGAAGTTGACGAAGCCGTCGACTGCACCGACTGAGCAACATACTCGACGTCAGATCCCCCTTGCCATCCATGCGCGCCTGCCGTCTCTCTCGGAGCAGCTCTGAGCGGGCCCTCTGGTACGCGATCGCCGTCGGGTCCTTGGTGACACGTCGCTCGAAGTGCCGCTCCGCCTTCGCATAGACCGTGGTGGCCCACCGAGTCCACGCCTCATCGGGGGCACACTCATGGAGAAGGTGATCGTGACATTCGGGCGCCATTGCAAACTGCCCCTCTAAGTCGGCCGTGAAATCGGGCACCCCCACTCCCTTCCGTAGCGCACTTGCCGGGCGGTCGAAGTCCCAGCGCGTCGGAGGAGAGGCAGAGGTACTCATGTCGAAACTGTAGTCTACCTTCAGCATAAGCGGGATGTGATTCTGCAGCCCCTCGCGGTCTCCCAGCTTCAACCGAAGGTTCGATCGTCTCATCGATGCGCACTGCTTGATCGTCTCCAGCTGCCACGAGAACACTGCAATATGATCGATGCTGCTGGGCGCGTGCGGGCCGAAGAAGGTGTCGCCAACTGGGTGGAAGGACGTGGTCACCACCACTCCGTGGCGCTCGAGCAGCTCCAGCATCTTGTTCGCCGCGTAATGCTGCTCGCTGCGCGCATGCGGGCCCAGAGGGGGGGGGGGGCGCGCGCCCAGTCCACGATGCCGCGCCGACGAGGCCTCCACCCGAACGAATCGTTTAGGTCGAACCCCATCATGAGCGAGGACCGTCGTCTGGACCACGTCAGCACTTTCTCCAGCCACTGTATCATCAGGTCCACCGTCGCCTGGAAGTGCGCCTGAGCTGTGCCCTTCTGCACCATAGACTCCCGACCCTCCCGTCTGGCACTGGGACGAGGAGGAAAGTACAATACTGGCAGCAGCACGTCGAACCTTCCCGATCGCAACCGAAACACAGCCACTCGGCCCTACAACGCGACGGGCACCACGGGAGTATCCACCACTTCTCTGGTCTTGAAGACACGCTTCCTCAGCGGCAGCGCTATCCCGCAAGACTTTTTCACATGCTTGCCCGCCTGGAACCCATACCGCAGCACGAAGTGATATCTCAGATCTGCATACCGTGCATCGCGGCCCTGCGTCCGCTCTCCCGTACTAGTGACAGCGATGATATCCGTCCATTTGAATTCGTCCGAGATGTCACCCAATCGCTCCAAATCCGCACTTTGAGAGTTCCAGTGCACATACGTGAACATGCCCGCCGCCGCACGCACAAGAAAGAGAAACAACCACATCATGCCATGACTGATGGGAGTGCGCGCGCGGGGGGCAACGGCCTGGATGGGGGCACCGCAGCGAAAGGTGCCTGCTGCGATCTCGATGCCCTCCAGCCCCTGGAGCTGCAAACTCCTGAGCCGGGGGGGCTAGGAGGAGGGGGAGGAGGAGGAGGAGGAGGAGGAGGAGGAGGAGGAGGAGGAGGAGGAGGAGGAGGGGTGAGGAGGAGGAGGAGGAGGAGGAGGAGGAGGAGGAGGAGGAGGAGGAGGAGGGAGGAGGAGAGAAGAGGGAGGAGGAGGAGGGAGGCAGGATGAGATGATGATGATGATGATGATGATGATGATGATGATGATGATGATGATGATGATGGATGATGATGATGATGATGATCATGTCATGATGATGATGAGGAGGAGGAGGAGGAAGGGGAGGAGGAGGAGGAGGAGGAGGAGGAGGAGGAGGATGAGGAGGAGGAGGAGGAGGAGGAGGAGGAGGAGGGGGGTGCTTATTCAACGTCGATTGGCGGATGGGTATCAAAGCCTTTCAGTGGGAGCATGTTCTGGTTGGCCACCTGGGGCACGGTGGCTTCAAGAGTCCACTGTGGAATAAGGGCCTCCCCCCTTACATAGGAAGGATGGGGGAGGAGGAAGAGGAGCAGGAAGATGTGCAATGCTTGCAAGGCAACGGGCAATGAGTACACGGCTGCCGGGGCAAGGCGGATCAACTTCCGCATGGCTAGTGACTGCATGCCCCACACGGGGCTCGATGATCCTGACTTCCCCCCCCTGGGGGCGCCTCAGGGGCCCTGGGTTGCAAGTCTCAATCTTCCCTTCTTCTCTGTGCGTGCATGGGCTCGACTGTTCCCGATACATTCTGTTTGTCTCCATTCCATCCTATGTGCAGGCTGCATAACTCTTCGCTTGCCAATTGGTGGATCGATTTACTGATTCAGCAGGAGGAGGAGGACGAGGAGGAGGGGGAGCAGGAGGAGGAGGACGAGGAGGAGGAAGAGGAGGAGGAGGAAGAGGAGGAGGAAGAGGAGGAGGAAGAGGAGGAGGAGGAGCAGGATGCGCGGGGGAGATGAGAGCTGGAGAGGAGGGCGCGGGGGAGGCGATAGGAGGCGGAGGAGGAGGGTGTCTATGAGTAGGAAGGAGAGGATCATGATGAGCGGGAGGCACAGGAGCAGGAGGAGAAGCAGGAGTAGGAGGGGCGCAGGAGGGGCGCAGGAGGGACGCAGGAAGTGGGAGAGAGCAGGAGGAAGAGGATCGGAGAAGCAGGAGCAGGACGAGCAGGAAGAGAGGAAGGCGAGGGGGGCAGGCGAGGGAGGCGGGGGAAGGGCAGGACAAAGGAGAGCCCAACTGTCCGTTCGGTACACGTCGACTCCTTCCGCGTCCTCTGGCAGCAAGTCCGGATAATGCCCAAGACCTGATCAGGCAACGGGGGGGCGCGGACGGGGCGCCGAAGAGAACAGGTGGCGAGGGCGGCGCTGAGGATGAGACCAGCGCTGGAAGCCCTGGGCACGCCGGCGCTGACCTCACTTGGGGGCACGATTGTACTTCCGCCAGCTTCCCTGCAACGGGCTGTGAGGAAAACGCGTCCTGGATATCCTGGGGGGGGTCTTCCCCTCCTCAAGATCGGCTTTCTCATCCTGGGCCGTCTTTTGAGGGCTCCGGGTCCCCGGACGGGCCGTGGGAAGCCGAAAACGACGAAACGTCGCGGGACCCCTTTCCCTCGAGACGCCCTTCTCTCTGTGGCGACTGCCGCCGAGCCTCCGCTTGTTTCCGCCAGCAGAGCCGCTCCTTCGCCAGCCTCCGCCGAGGACGAGAGGTCAACCCGTCGCGCCCTCCACGAGAAAGCCCTTCCCTGAGCTGGCCACGTGGCGCAGCTTGTGAAGATGCCTCTCCTTCGTTGTCGTCGTCGACGTCGTCGGCGGAGCCACCCTCGTTTTTCGACGGCGTCCTCTGGCGGGCCCGCATCAGCGAGGATTTTCACAACAACCCAAATCGGGTCTACGAGCAGACAGGCGCAGAGGCCTAGCTTTACGTCAAGTTGCCCGACAACAGCGTCAGGCTTCACACGCTGCTGATCACAATCGCAGCCATCACGACCAACTTCGCTAACGCGGCGGATCTGTGCCATGGCCTCCTGAATCTCATCCGCCAACGTGCCCTCGCACGCTGGGGCATGTTGAAAGCCAGCCAATCGATGATGTGGTAAATCCGGCACCGTGCCTCGAGGCACGAAGCTGAATGCCCTCAGGTCAGTTGAACAACACTGTAGCAGTTCTTGAAAGGGCCCACGGCCTGGAGTGCCGGGCGCTCTTGGGCGCTCCCGCGCGCTCTCGGGGGGCCCCCGCGTGACTTTTCCAGAGGCCCAGAGGGCGTTGCTCAGGGCATGCACGTCCAACATGGCCTCAGACGGCCTCGAAGACCGTCCTGGAGCCCTCCTGCCTGGGCGGCTCCTGGGCCGTCCTGGGGGCCTTGGAGAGCGGCTTAAGAGGTTAACACTGTGAAAATTTATCGTTTCTTCTGTCGTTTCAACGGTCTCGCTTTTTTGGTCCTTAGAGCGTCCAAGACGGCTCACGAGGCGCCCGATATCGCCCCCAAACGGTCCAAGAGCCCCCGAGAGGCCTCCAAGAGGCGCCCAAGAGGGGGAACACGAACTTACATGTCGAGCCCTCCACCCCAAGATTTCCCACGAGACCGCCAGCAGGCCTCCACAAGCCCCCCAGAAGCTCCAAGAGTCCCCCAAGGAGCCCAAATCAGGCCCCAAGAGGCCCTGGAGAGGCCCCAAAGACACTCCCAAACCACTTCCAAGAGGCTTCCGAGAGGCCGCCCAAGATACTGTCGAACCTAAGACAGAATAACCTCGTTCAAGAACAAGAGACCCTCCGCCAGCCAGAACACTCCCAAACATAAGATCACTCGAAGGTGCCCTCCCCCAGGAGGCACAACAACATCCCACAATAACGAAGAACCTTAGGGCACCCTCCCCGAGCCGACCTCGATCTTCTACCTCGGTCGGACTGTATCCGCCGCCCTCTGTGGTTTGCCACATGGCGCACGGCGCGTAAAACTTTTGCATGTGTTTGGTCATGTGTGAAAGACTCCCAGTAGGGTCTCTCGGCCGCTCGCGCCGGCCATGCAGAGAAAGGCCTCTCCCAGTCGGTTTTCCCGCCCAAGATGGCCCCCGAGGTGGCTCCAAGATAGCTAACATGGCCTCCAAGAGGGCCAAGATGGCCTCCAAGACGGCCAATATGGCCCCAACACTGCCCAAGACGCCCTCCAGACGGACTAAGAGCCCCCCAAGGCGCCCCAAGAGGGCTCCAAGGGGACCTCCAGGAGGACAAAGTCAATCATTCTCTTGCACGCTGTGTCTAGAGCTCCGACCACTCTAATTTCGCACCGCCCCCCCCGCCCCCCTCCCTTTCTCCTCCCCCGCAGGACAACGCTCCCGCCCCCCAGCTCAATGCCCCCTCCGCCACGGCCGCACTATTTCCGCACCGCATCCCCCCCCTCCCTCCCCGTTCCCAAGCAGTGTTCACCCGGGGCCAGCTTTTTCCCGCCAACTTTTCCCCAGCAGCCCCGTACCCTCTGCGCCCAGTGCCCCGTCCGCCCCAACCACTTCGCACCGCCCCCCTCCCTCCGCTCCCCACCGCAAGGCGTTCCCAAGCAGCCCCGTACGACATCGCTCTTTGTCGTCCTCCTGCGCTCCAGACCCGTGTCATTTGGGCCCCATAGAACCCCTCTTTGGTCTAACTTCGCGGATCAATTATGAGAGCCTTCATTCGCATTCGCATTCTCGCTCTCATCAAGACATGGTCCTTGCCTCCTTGGGCCGGAGCGTGGATGTCGTAACCTCTTTATGCGTACACGTGCTGGAGAAAACCTGTATAAACATGGCAAACAGTACGTGCTTATTTCCCCAACCCTCCTGCGTTTGGGTCTCGTTCTGACAAGAGCACTGCAGTCGCGACTACCTCCTTTCTTCCTCTCTCCTCCTCCTCCTCCTCCTTCTCCTCCTCCTCCTCCTCCTCCTCCTCCTCGTATCTCCTCCTCGTATCTGCTCCTCGTACCTCCTCCTCCTCCTCCTCCTCCTCCTCCTAGCTCCTCCTGGGTCCTTTGCGCTCCCCCGGAGGCTGCGACCCGCGCAACTGTCGCCACTTTCGTGGGCTCTTGGGAGGCACGGCGGAGTGCAGGGCCGCGCAGATCATGTGAGACCTCGCGGTTCCGCCCAGGCTGCGACCTGCGCAACGGTCGCCACTTCTGTTGGCTCCTGGGATGCACGGCGGAGTGCAGGGCAGCGCAAATCATTTGAGACCTCGCGGCTCCGCAGGGTGTTGCGAACTGCGCAATTGTCGCCACTTCTGTTGGCTCCTGGGAGGCACGGCGGAATGCAGGGCAGCGTAATGGATTTGAGAACTCGCGGCTCCGCCGTGTGCTGCGAACTGCGCAAGTGTCGCCACTTCTGTGGGCTCTTGCAAGGCATTGCTGAATGCAGGGCAGCGCAAATCATTTGAGGCCTCGCGGCTCCCACGGGGGCTGCGAACTGCGCTACGGTCGCTGGTTTCGTGGGCTCCTGGGAAGCATGTCTGAGTGCAGACAGCACAAATCATTCCAGACCTCGCGGCTCCCTCGGGGGCTACGAACTGCGCTACCTTCGCCCATTTCGCGGCTTTTTGGGAGGCACGGTTAAGTGCAGGGCAGCGCAGATCATTTGAGACCTCGCGGCTCCCTCTGGGGCTGCGGACTGTGCAACTGTCGCCACTTCTGTGGGCTCCTGCGAGGCACGGCGCAGTGCAATGCAAGGCAGCGCAGATCATTTGAGACCGCACGGCTACCTCAGGGGGCTGCGAACTGCGCTACGGTAGCCATTTTCGTGAGTTCCTGGGAGGCACGGCGGAGTGCAGGGCCGCGCAGATCATTTGAGACCTCGCGGCTCCCTCGGAGGCTGTGACCTGCGCAACGTTCGCCACTTCTATTGGCTCCTGGGAGGCACGGCAGGGTGCTGGGCAACGCAGATCACTTAACACCTCGCGGCCCCTTCGGAGCCTGGGTAGTCTCGGTGTCTTTTGGACCCTCTGGGGCAGTCTAGAGGCTTTCTGGAACAGTCCTGACTGGATCTGAAGCCGAATAGGCCCAAGAGCAAACCACGTCAACCAATCTGACATCTATCCATTGTTTGGGGTTCCCCAGGGCTTGCATGAGGGCTCTTAGGCGCTTCCTGGCGGTGTAACGCATTGGGCTCACATGGAAATCTGTGGGCATCTGCGGGCAGTCTTGAGCCCGCCCAGGGTCATCTTGCAGCCCTCATGGGGCGGTCTTCGCTTGTCTTGAAGCCACATGGTGGCAAACAGAAATCTCGGGGGGGGGGGAGGCGGACTCTACCATTCAGATGCTCGGCTCAGTACAGCAGGGCCTAGGCCGAGGCAGACAACACTTTGCGCCAGACGGTTCGGTGTACGCTGTGAAGTACTGCTGTTTCAAGCGCGTGCTGCTTGTGCTGCTGCGTGATGTCCTTTGCAAAAGCATGCTGCTGCTTCGTGCTGCATGCTTTTGCGAATTGCAGGATGCTGCGGCTTGCCGCTGAGTGCTGCTGCTTGACACTGCTTGTTGTCATATTCGCGCCTCTAGGGGCCTCCTTGGAATCTCTCTTGCGTTTCTTCCAGCCACGTGAGGCCTGTTGAACAGGCCTGGAGCCGGGGACGGCTTGGGGCCTCCAATGGGCATCTTAGCCCTCTGGGGGCTCCATCGGGGCCGCCCTGGACCGGCTGGCTCGGGGTCTCCAGGATGCACCTTGGGGGCTTTGGAGACCTCTCGGGCATTCTTGGAGCCCTCACGGGCCGTCTTGGGGGCCCCTTGGGATCACTTGGGGACTCTTGGGCCCTCAGGGGCCGTCTCGGGGCGCGTCACATAAGGCCTCTTGGGAGCCCTCTTTGACTGTCTTGTCGACGTCTTGGGCAGCCTTGGAAATACATTGGACCGTCCTGGGCTCCACCAGAGGCCCTGTTCAAAAATCTCTGGGGTCGCTTGGGGCTATGCAGGGGCACTCTCGGAAATATCGAACGGGCTTTCTCAACTTTGATTGATCCTCTCTTGATCCGTCTGGGAATCCCTCTTGAAGCCTCGCGCTGGCCTCCTGCGGTCTCTCTGGGCCCGAAGACGGCCGCGGTTGGGGCTTTCTCCGATCCGACGAGCTTTCTCCGAAGAGAACAGGTGTCCACGAGAGCTTTGAAGAGTTCAGAAGTGCAGGGCGCCACCGTGCGAGCCTCTGTTATCTGCTGGTCTGATCTCAATCAATCTTGGAGCCAAGAATGCTAAATTTGGTCTCCTCGCTGACTCGACCACAGAGAAGCCACAACGCCGCGAACGTACAAATCGGCGACAGAACAGACCATTGCAGATTCAAGGCGAACCATTTGACCCAATACCCCGCCCAGGGGCCGTCAGCTACACTCGAGTAGTTGTCGTACACTTCCGCAATGTAGATCACTGAAGTGTTTGCCCAGAAGAACCCCCAGTGCGTGAGCGCAGCGATGATCAGTGCTGTTTTGTAACGCCTCCGCTGCTTCATCATCCACACCGCTGCCAGCTCAAAGAAACCAGATACGGCGAGCATGGTCTCAGTAGCATGTGACGCGGAGTGCGGCCGCATGTATCGAGTATCGCCGCTAGCGTACATCCAAAAAGGCCACGCCCAGAGCTCAGACGACTCGAGCACCTTATCCGACTTGATGGGGTGGAGGTACTGCTCCTTAAGCAGCACGAAAGGTAGCTCCCAGCCAATCTGGGCTAGGCCAGAGGTCAGGATCCACATGAACACAAACTCCTCCCACTTCTGAATCTTGCTTCTCTGCTCACCCCTGTTGTCCACGAATGCCCACACCGGCACCCAGAGCGCCAGAAACGCACAGATGCCGCAATAGTCGTCTGTCGGATCAGGGGGCAGGTACTGAAAGTACACCAGCCCGTACCCCACTGTCGCCCATAGGGCCAGTACCAAGAAACAGACACCGTATAGCACACCCCTGACCCCCCGGCCAGCACACATATGCCCAAACTGGCTCCGCTGGTCACCACATTCCACGTAGTTGGACTCGGGCATCCAGATCTGCAGCGACTCTCGAGCAGGAACGATTTGAACCAAACTGGCTTGAGCATTAAACGTCTGTTTTTTTTTTTGTGTGTGTGTGTGTGTGTGAAGACTGGTCGCTGTGGTAAGCGTGAAGTCTGTGCCCTTCTCTGTAGCTTTTTTTCATGACAGGAAAAGCAGTCTGAGGGGCGCGGGGGCGTGCAGGGCGTTCTATAGAAGCGAGCGGCGGCATCAGCATCGTCACTGCTCATCGTCCATTGCCGATGCGAACAAGCTCATCAGCGCGTCCCCGCCGCCTCCTCCTCCTCCTCCTCTTCCTCCTCCTCCTCATTTTCCTCCCTTCCCACGCCATCCTCATCGCTCCTGCTCTTCCTCTTCCCCCCGCCCTGCTCCTCCTCCTTCTCCCCCTCCTTCTTCTCCTCCTCCTCCTCCTCCTCCTCCTCCTCCTCCTCCTCCTCCTCCTCCTTTCTACTTTCCTCATCAACCTCCTCTTCCTCCCGTCCACTCGGTCCTCCTCCCCATGCCCGCCTCCCCCCTCACCTCCTGCTCATCCCCTCCCCTCCTGAACGTTCTCCTCCTCGTCCGCCCCCTTGCTCTCACCCTCTCCTGTGAGCCGCAGGGGCCCAAATCGCCCGCCAACTTGTGCATCACCATTCACGCCAAACGGTAGAGCGCGTGGAGGATTCTCACGCGAAGGAGCCGGCCTAGGCCTGTCTTCTCCCTGGTCCTCCTGTGTTGGGCTCTCGTGTTGAACAGGGCATTGTTGATCCTTCCTCCTCCTTGCTCCCGCCTCCTCCTCCTCCTCCTCTCCTCCTCCTCCTCCCCCTCCTCCTCCCTCCCCTCCCTCCTCCTCCTCCTCCTCCGCCTCCTCCTCCTCCTCCTCACCTCCTCCTCCTCCTCCTCCTCCTCCTCCTCCTCCTCCCCTCCGACTCTTCTAATTGAGGAGCTTTCGAGGACTGCCTGACCTGACCTGCTGGATTGACTCCGGAATTAATCCACGGGCAAGGGTGGATCAGGGCGTCGCCCTGGGCCCCGTGAATTAACTCCGGAATTGATCCACGGGGGAGGGGTGGATCAAGGCGCCGCCCTGGGCCCCGTGAATTAAGCCTGGAGTGAATTCACAGGGCCCAGGGCGGCGCCCCTCACAGGCCTCCTGGAGGGCCTCTGGGTGGCCGCCTGGAGGGGGCCCAGGCGGCCTGATCCACCCTTCCCCCGTGGACTAACTCCCGAGTTCATTCACGGGGCCCATAGGGCGGCGCCCTGATCCACCCCTCCCCCGTGGATTAACTCCGGGGTTAATTCACGGGGCCCGGGGCGGCACCTCTCAGAGGCCTCCTGGAGGGCCTCTGGGAGGCCGGCGTGAGGCGCCCCAGGCGGCCTCTGATCCACCCCTCTCCCGTGGATTAACTTCGGAGCTAATTCACCGTCGGATTGTTTTGAACTGTTCGGTTTTTTTGTTTTCTGGTTTTCGTTTGGTTTTCGTTGTTCCGTGGCCCTGAGAGCGTTTTTGTTGCGTTGGGAGGGGGGTCCCAAATGGATTTTTACCCTGCAGCGGTTCTGGGGTGAAATTCCATCGAGGGCGCTCCCGGGACCTGGCGAGGGGGCCCAGCCGCGAGAGAAGGGCCCCCCGAGAAGAGATCTCATTGGCACGTTGCGACTTGCGGGGCGCTGGAGCACCCCCACCCTTCTCCCCGAACGTGCTGTTTTGAATTGAGGGGGGCCCCAGATGGACTTTCGCCCTGGAACGGTTCTGGGGTGAAAAATCAATCTGGGCGCTCCCGACGCTGAGCGGGGTGGCCCAGCCGCGAAAAAAAGGCCCCCCGATAAGAGATTTCAGGTGGGGCGTTCCAAAAACAGCCTTGCATCCGAGGATCGAAAGGAAATGCCACCTCTTCCGCGGCGGAAGGTCAGCAGAAGGTCGGCGGAAGCAAAACGAGGCCGCCTCCTCTGGCGGAAGTTGGCGGAAGCTCGGCGGAAGAAAAGGTGCGCCCCCAAGAAATAAAATCGTTTTTGGGCACAGGGCTCTCGAAATCGGACATTTGGAAAATAGCGATTTCTGGGGTTCGCTCCCCCCCCCCCCTTCTTCCCGAGAATGTGTTTTGTATTGGGAAGGGTCCCGGATGGATTTTCAGAAATATTTCTTCCTTCTTCAGAAATACGTCTCCCTTCTTCAGAAGTGCTTCATTCTTTTTCATGATACCGGAGAAAACCCCAATCATAATCTTTTTAGGGCTATGGGGCTATAGGGCTGTAAGGGGCCTCTTGCGGGCCTCTTGCGGGCTGCGTGGGGCCTCTCTTTGGGGCCTCCAGAGGGCCTCGTGGGGCGGGAGGCTCGAAATCCCCTCTTGGGATCGTCTTGGAGCCCTCCTGGGCCGTCTTGGGGGCGCCTTAAGCTGTCTTGGGGCCCTGCTGGGCTGTCTTTTCTTCCTGTTTAACGAAATCAGTTTCATCGTAGATAACTTCAGTGTCGACTATTCGGCTGCGGATCGACGTTCGATGGACTCTGGACGAAGCAAGGTCGCAGCGGCCGCGGTGGCGAGTTCGTCGCACAACCAAGAACCCAAGAAGGAGCACATTTGGAGAGTTCCACCGTCACTCGATATGTCGCGCGCAAACCTTCTACGAAGACCACTAGACGAGGGTTGCATCACATTCAAGTGAAACATAAAGCGTGTGCACGAGGCGTCGTGCAACCATTGCCACGTTGAATTTGCCATGATTCGCTGACGCACCTAAAATGTCGAAATTACGATTACCACCGTTGCCCCGCACTTTGGTAAGTGTGGCCTTCCCCGCCGGCGAAATGTTATTGTCGCGAATCACGTTCACATTTATCTTAGAGGGAGGGGCGCAGTGCTCCGCGACATACGCGAACGCTTCGACCAGCACAAAAGCTTCCTCGTCGCCCCAGCCTAGTTTGGTCAGATCGATGACACTCGAGCCCCCGTTGATGTTTGTGCAATTTTTGTAAGCGTGGATGGAGCCCTTGCGATACTGCTTGATGACGAAATCCTCGTCAGCGCCCGCCGTAAACACGACAGTGCCGTCCTGCACGCCCCTGCGCATCTGTTCGAAGAAAGCGTCGGGCGAAAGCGGCGGAAGACGGGACGCCTTCAAAACGTCCAGGACATCTTCACAATACCAAACGGGGGCCCATAATAACTCCCGGGGCGTTGCCCAAGTCCAACAGGCACCCAGGACCCTTTGTCATCCCGCTGATCGCCCGCTCGAATTTGCTCCAGCCGCGGCTATGGTACGGCCATAGCCGTTCTCGTACTTGTCGTCGCTGGTGGGCACTGGGGTGGTGACGAGGAGCACGGTGGTGAAAGGATGGGAATACCACTGGTGGATGGATTGAAGGCCCGCCTTGAACCGCTGCTTCTCTGAGTCATTTCTGTATGGCTTCTGCGGCAAGGACGGAAAGTCCCACACGACGCCCACGGTCGCGCCCCCCATATGCCGCACGCCCGCGTTCTCAAGGGCCCACATCTGCGACTTAACGAAGGACAGCATGGCGCGCAGGACGGGGGCGATCCGCTGCAAGGTCTCGCCAAGGCGGTCCGGGTGGGACCGATCGAACCAACGGTAGCTCAGAACTAGGACAGGTAGGAAGCCACCAGTGCCACCATGATATGCGCAAAAGCGCAGCTGCCAGATGTTGGCAGGGCCGATCTTCGCCACCGCAGGGACCTCCTGCCACCGCAGCACGACGCCACCCTCATCGGCAAGGGCCACGCGGAACTGCGCGTCAATAAGCGAGATGTGCTCGAGCAGTGGCCCCAGCGCCTTTCCGCCTGATTTTTCTCCCTCGTGGATTAACTCTGGAGTTAATTCACGGGGCCCAGGGCGGCGCCCTGATCCACTCCTCCGCCGTGGATTAACTCTGGAGTTTCTTCGTGGGGCCCAGGGCGGCGCCCTGATCCACCCCTCCCCCGAGGATTAACTCCGGAATTAATTCGCGGCGCCCAGGGCGGCGCCCTGATCTTAACTCCAGACTGAATTCTTTTTTCCAGAGTGGATCCTGCTACCGGCCTTCCCGTGGAGTAACTCCGGAGTGAATTCTTCCCAAGGTGGATCGCCGCGCCGGCCTTTCCGTGGATTAACTCCGGAGTTAATTCTTTCATTTCCTCCCGGATTCAGCCGCTTCCCTCCTCCTCCTCCTCCTCCTCCTCCTCCTCCACTCGAATCGGCATAGCGACGAACATCATCCGAGGAGGGAGCGCGGCGGCGCCGACCTCGCGAGGACGCCAAGGGGAGGTTCAGCTCGATGGCGTCCGCGGGGAAGGTCTGGTTCCTCCGGGGAGGCTGGCGAACGAACGAGGCTTCTGAGGAAGAGGAAGGGGAGGGGGAGGGTGAGGGAAAAGAGGGAACGGATGGGGAGGAGAAGGAAAAGGAGGAGGAGGAAAAGGAGGAGAAGGAGACCGAGAACCAGTGTACACCTAAGACTCATCAGCGATGTTGCAATACACCCTCCCTTCAAATTCCCTCTCATAGGTCCCACGAATATTCAGTTCACTGACAGAAATGCCCCGTCGGAAGACAACCATCCGAAAATCCTGAACCTTGTCAGACGCCGCGAACCAACAATACTGTTGCGTCCTGATGGTCCTGAACCATGCCAGAACATCATTCCCGGGACTTTAACATCGCGAATCAACAAACTTGTTTGGCCATGACGGTCCTACATCGTACCACAATGCAATTTCTGGACGCCAAGCATACTAGTCCTTGAACATGTTGCAAGCCTTTACGACGAATGTGCCCCGCGCTTTAGCGAGAACAACATTTTGAAGCAAGTACCGCCCTCCATCCGTGAAGCTCTTGCAAACTTTTAGGACGACTGTGCGCGGTGCTTGGGCGAGAACCACATCTTGAAAACCGTCCGCCCTCCATGTGTGAAAACCATGCGTTCAAGTGCGCGGCGCTACAGCGAGAACCACATTTTGAAGACGACTCGCACTTCATCCGTGAAACTGTTACGAATTTTGAAGACGATAGCGCGCGGCGATAAGACGATAACTACATTTTGGAAACGGCCCGCCCTCCATCCATGAAGCTGGTGCACATTTTTAATCGACTGTGCGCGGCGCTAAGGCGATCACTGCATTTTGAAAACGGCCCGTCCTCCATCTGTGAAGCTTTGCACTTTTTCAGCTTAAGGATCATACATGGTGAGAACATCTCAAGCGGAACGTCCGGCCCGCCCTACCGACACGCTGAGGGGCGCGACGATGAGTTCTTCATGCGGAAATGGGATGAAGGAGGATGAGGAATCGGAGGGGGAGGAGGAAGGGCAGGAAAGAGGAGAAAGGAGGACGAGGAAGTTACGCAGGGAGGAAAATGGATGCATGGATGGATGGATGGATGAACGGACGGGTGGATGGATGAGAATGATGCTGCTGATGATGCTGCTGCTGCTACTGATGATGATGATGATGATGATGATGATGATGATGATGATGATGATGATGATGATGATGAGGACGATGATTATGATGATGATTCTGACGATGATGCTGATGATGATGAGGAGGAGAAGGACAGACGTGAAGGAGGAGGGGGAGGAGGATAATGGATGAGGATGGAGGAGAGAGGAGGATGAGAAAGAAGAAACAGGAGGGCGAGAAGGATTAATAACGAGGACGGATGAGAGCGGATGGATTCGAGAGGACCCTGGAGAGAGGAGGAGGAGGAGGGGGGACGAGGAAGAAAAGGCGAAGGAGGAGGATGAGGAGGAGACAGGAGGAGGTGGAGGAGGAGGAGGAGGCGGAAGGACGCGTAAGAGGATAATAATGAGAAGTCGGAGGAAGGAGGAGGATTGACGAGAGAAGACGGAGAAGCGAGGAGGAAGGGGGCAGAGGATGGCGGAGAGAGGATGGAGGAGAAGAGAGGATGATGAGGAGTGATGATGATGATGGTGATGATGATGATGAGGATGATGATTGTGATGGTGATGGTGACGTTAATCAGGGGGACGAGGAATATGAAGACCAGTGTAGACCCAAGGCGCATCAACGAAGTGGCAATCCACCCTCCCTCCATGTTCCCTCTTCAGAGGGCCCTGCAATGATCAATTGTCATGGCGCGAAATGCCCGCTTGGAAGACAACTGTTACAGAACCCTCAATCTTGCCAGAAAGCAATTCCTGGGACTTCAGCGTTGCGAATCAACATGGCAGTTTCGTCCGAATGCGCCGACCCCTCGTGGGCTTTAGGCGTGTGAGATTCCCCCCCCCCCCCCCCCCCCCATAAGGCCCCCCCCCGCCCCGGAACAATTCGACCCCCCCCCCTCTCGCCCTGGACGACCCACCGCCGAACGCGCCATGGGGGAACAGAGCGCCCCAAAACGAGCCAAGAGGGCACAAAACGCCTCCCTGACCGTCCGAGAGGGCGACGAGTCGCCGACATATCGTTCCAAGACGCCCACGATGGCTTCCAGACAGCCTCCGACGCCCCCAAGACGACCCAAGAGGCCCCCAAGAGGCGTCCCAAGCGAGCCCCAAGAAGCAGAAATCGTCCCTTTCCCTTCGTAAAACGTTAAATCATGCGGTTGCGCTACGTCCGGCACGGGCCATGGAACCCTCCATATCCTCCCAGGACGGCCTCGGCAATTGCCGAGAGAGGTCCAAGAGGGCCCAAAGACGGCCCAGGAAGCGCCCAAGACAGCCCAAGAGGGCCTCCAGACGGCCCCAGGAGGGAGCCTGGAGGGCAACTTTTTGGTCCTTTGGCTCCGAGGTTCCCTCACCCTGCTGCAAGAACCTCCCAAGAGGGCCCCAAGGAACCCCACGCGAGGCCCAAAAACCTCCCAACAGGCTCCCGAACGACCCCCAACAGGCCCACGCGCTACCTCCAACACGCCCCCGTGACGCCTCAAGACCAGATCGTGACTTCTCCTCCTCCTCCTCCTCCTCCTCCTCCTCCTTTTCTTTGACTCTCTCCGCCTCTCCCCCATCTTCCCCATGCTCCTCCTCCCCCTCCTCCGCTTTCACCCTCTTTACGTTCCTCTTTTCATCGGCTTCGCCCTCCCTCTCGCTCGCACCCCCGTTGCTCTTACTTCTACGGGCCATGGCACGGGCGCCCTACTGGTTAAGGTGTCCTTCTTCTCGTCACGCGCGACATGGCTTGCGTCCGCGGAGACAGCCGACTTCGGCAATTTCCTCTGGCAGCTGCCACTGCGCTGAAAGGCCTGCCAACTACGCGACGTGAACCCGTCGGCGCTGCAATCTGCGCATGCAGCTTTACTCTTTCTCGTGAAATACTCGCTCTCCTGTTTGGCGCTGTTTCTTGCGCGCTGCGCACGTCGGCAGTCGCTTCGACTCATCGGCCACAAACCTTCGCGGTGATGCCCCGCCCATGACAACTTTCGCACACCACTCTTGCTCCTGTCTTCGTCCGGTGGTGCTCCAATTGGTTGCCGTTCAAATGGCCGGCCTCCCAGGACACCCCGCAACTGGCCGCGCCGCGCGTCGGCGGCTCCGCTTCCGCCTCCGCTTTCCGTTTGCGATTACCTGCTTCGTAATTTGTCCACAGCGCCGCCTTCTCCCGCTTCTCCGCGCACTTCCGACGCAACCTCTCCCCCGCTGCGTTGTGCTTCCTCCGAACTTCCGACATATCCGCCTTTTCGTCGTGCAGCGACAAGCGCTTGACGTTCGAACATCGCACTGTGCCGACGCTCTCGTTCCTCTTTGCGTTGCCGCTCCGCGACTTCTGCTTGGCTTTGACATGGCTGCACTTCGCGCAATACATTGTCCGAATCCTTTTTGCCCTCCCCTCGTCGGCCGCTGCGTCCCCGCTCCGACCGCTGACGCGCCGCGTCGCACCATTATCCTCCGCTTTCGTTGCCCACCCTCTGCGCGTCGCGCGCCATTTCCCGTCTGCGTGTTTCACCTCTCCCGTAGCTACCGGCATCCCCGTCGCCAGAGGCAACCACCCCGGCAAACTCTTTGTCTTGGTGCCCCAGCCGCCGTATGTTATCCTCAACCGTGTACGGGCGCCTTTGTTCCCCGCCATGGCTCGGGCGATCTCTGGCTGCGACCCAGAGCAGCCGTTCCCCTCGCTCCTTTGCCCGCTGCGCAGCTCTTTGCTTCCCGACGTGGCAACGAATGCCCTGGCTCGCATAAATGGCGCCAGCGCCGACGAATGTCCCCTCGCGAAAACGCGCGTCTTCCGGCGACGGCGCGACGAGCTTTCTCTTCTCTCGCTCAACTTTGCATTCCTCACGCTCTCGCCCGTGCTGTTTCGAAATTGCCTCTGCGCCTCGTAGACAGCGCGCGTTCCCGCGCAGCGGCGCGCCGTTCACCCGCGACCCCCGGCCTGGAGCATGTCTCTGGGAGGTCGCCAGCAGAGCGCGGAAGTCAAGGTCCAGGCGCGACGGCGGCCGTCGAGGGGGGTGCAGTGGCCAGAGAGGCACACAGTTTCGCGCTGCGTTTCGCAAGCGCGTGGGCGGGTAGGTGCGAAAGGCCCGAATGCCCGCGCGGTGGGGATAGAAAGGAGCGCGCTCTCGCGAGGACGAGCACGGGGAGGGGCAGGGCGGCGAGTGTGGATCTGGAGACTGTGCAGTTCTGGCTGTGGGAGATGATGGATACGGACGCGTCCCGCGTTCGTTGTGTCGTGTATCCAAGACGCCAGATGATGCATCACTTCATTCCGTGGTTTTTCGGGGTGGCGTTTCCGTTATGTTTCAAGTGCGGGTGGGGGTGCCGGACCTGCCTGAATGGCAGGGGAATGTGCGCCATCGACGCGGACCAGCGGCGCCCCGCGTGGAACTGGCCCTGTGGGCACGCATCATGACGCGTCGGGTGGACTCGCAATTTTGGCGTGAGTGGAGATTTTGGGTTTTCCGGTGTTGTCGGTCTTCTTCTAAAGTTCTGTGAACATGGCGCGGTCCGTGCGACTGGCGGACCATCGGAAGGACAAGCAGACGGAATGCCAGTATCCGCAAGGTGCTCTGGAGAGGGCGGCCGTGAGCATCCGTCGCGCGCGCGCCCCAGCCGCCGTCGTCGTCGTCGCCGCCGCCGCCGCCGCCGCCGTCGTCGCCGCAGTCGTTGCCGCCGCCGCCGTCGTCGCCGCAGTCGTCGCCGCCGTCGTCGTCGTCGCCCGCGTCGGTCAGGAAGAAGTGGCGGGGGGCCGACGGCGACGGGGCCCAGGCGTCCGTCGGCATGCTTTTGTGAGGTCGGCAGTCCTCTTCCTCGACGTCGCCTCCCCCCCCCAGGGGGGCGCTGCCCCGGGGCGCGCGCCTTACCCCCAGGGTTAAATGGTCGACGTGTCCTCCTCCTCCTCCTCCTCCTCCTCCTTCTCCCCCTCCTCCGCCCCTCCTCCGCCTCCTCCTCCTCCGACAAGAGAAGGGCCAGAGGTCCGACGCTCCAGTTTTGTCGCTGCGCGGGCCCCCAGGTCTGGGGTCGCGGCTGACGCAACTGACGCCCTCGGACATGGCTGGCAGGGTGGCTGGGGGGGTGCCGACGCGGGGAGGCCCGCGCGGCGTGGATAAGGAAGGCCGGAGAGGGGCGTTCTCTGGGATGATGTTGGGGCGTCCCGAGGTCATCAATCGTTCTCAGTATTAGGTCTTGATGATCGGGTACTGACAGGCCCCATGCCTACATCATGTGCCGCGACATAAGCAGCGCTTGTCACCGGATGATTGAACTTCGCCGACCCCTTGTGGGTCTCTGGGCGCGTGAGATTCCCCTCCCCCCCATACTCCCCCGCGCCCCCTGGGACCACGCACCACCCCCAAACTCACCACGGGGGATCAAGGTGTCCCCAGGCTCCCTTTAGAGCTACATGAGAGCCCTTGAGGCTTCCCAAGAGGCCCCAAACACGGCCCAAGAGGGCCTTACATCGCCGAAAGTTCGTTCCCCAAACTGTCACGATTGCGTCCAGACGGTCCTGGATGTTTGCAAGACGCTCCAAGAGTCCTACAAGTGGCTCCTGGAGAACGGCCCAAGATGACAAAATCGTCCAATTCCCTCCGGGTAAACGTATATGTTTATCATATTCGCTTGCTGGCCTGTTACTACGTCCAAGACGGGCCAAAAAAACACCCAAGAAGGCTCTAAGACGGCCCAAGAGACCCCCACGACGGCCAAAGAAACCGCTAAGACGGCCCAAGAGGTCTCATGACTGGCCAAAGAAGCCTCCAAACTGGCCCCAACACGGACCCACGAGGGGAACCCCGAAGCGAAAATTCGAGCCTTCCGCCAAAGAAGCCTCCAAACACCGAAAAGCACCATCAAAACCTTGAACTCAGTTAAGGGGTCGGCGGATGTGGCGTAAGCCTATAGAGTTTTTAATTCGCGCCAGAACGCAATCCCTGGGACTTCAGCGTTGCGAATCAACGTTGCTTTTGCGTCCTCGCAATCCTAAACCTTGCCAGGGCACCATTTCTGAGACTTCAACCGTGCGAGGCCTTGATTCTGTTGCAAACTTGCAAACTGAATGTGCGCGGCGCTGCGGCGAGAGCGTCACTTTGGAAAGGAACCGCCCTTCATCTTTGAAGCTGTTGCAAATTTGTCAAACGAATGTGCGCGGCGATGAAGCGAAAACTGAATTTTGAAAGCCACCCGCCCTTCATCCGTGTAATTGTGTAGACTTTTCAAATGAATGTGCGCGGCGCTATGGCGAGAGCTACATAAAAAAAACACCCGTCCTCGATCAGTGAAGCTGTTGTTGTGCGCGGCGCTAACGCGAGAGCCTCACTTTGGAAACGATCCGCCCTCTATGCTTGAAGCTGCTGCAGTCTTTTTAAACGAATGCGCGCGGCGCTAAGACGATAACTACATGTTGAGAACGGCCCGCCCTCCATCCGTAAAGCTGTTGCAAGTTTCAAGCTTCAAGGTCATATATGGTGGGAGTGTCTCAGGCGAAACTCCTGGCCCGCCCTACCGGCGCTGGGGGTGCGAGAGGCCTACAAGTAGAAGGGATGGAGGAGGAGGAGGAGGAGGAGGAGAAGGAGGAGGAGGAGGAGGAGGAGGAGGAGGAGGAGGAGAGAGGACGAAGAGGAGTGAGAATTGTGGGTCCCAAGCTCGTGGGATGACAGACCGACCGTGCGGCGACCTCGAAATCTCTCAAGAACTCACCGCGAGGTCTGTTGCCGCAAGGTTTTGGGACCTTGGGGGCCCCAAGACATCCTCGGATAACGACCCACATCCCGAAACCGTGCGGTCACCCCGAATCCACACTGACTCACCATACGGTGTGGGCACCTTGTGGGGGCCCACAAGAGGAGGATAATGAAGAAGGTGCGGGTACTTTTGCGAATCCGGCGGGGCTGGGCTGCACCCGACGAAGCGGTGCTGCCCCGAGAATGAGCACCGGGAGGGGGGAGGGGAGCCTTCCTTTCCCTCCCCATTCCCTCCCTCCTTGCCCCCTCCCGCTTACTCTCCCTCCACCTTCCCTCCTTCCTCCCTTCTCCTTTCTCCCCTTTTCCTCCTCATTTCGTCCCTCCTCCTTCCCGCCCCTTCCCCTCCCTCCTCTTTCTCTCTTCCCCCCCCTCCTCTTCCCCGCCTCCTCTGGCCCTTCCTCCTTCCTCTCCCTGACCCCTCCTCGCTCTCCGTCCCCACGGAAGGCCCGGCTCCTCCCGGGAGGCCGATGGCCGAGCGGGGTCTTTGCAGATGCCCGGCTGTGGCCGGGTGGCGATCAGGCCGAACGTCGATCGGACTATCAGGACGACCGCCCCGACGAACGCCCTCAAGAGGCCCTCCCCCAGTAAGTACCCAGGAGGTCCCCCCGAGAGACATTCGAAGAAACCGTAAATGGTATCCAAGAAGCCTCCGACCCCCAACCATTTTGCTTGCAAAACCCATATTCTTGGCGAGCCAAGGTTTAGCACTTTTGGCCCTGCCGGACGATTCCGCATGGCCTTCACGGCCGATCCCGCCGGCCACCCGTGCGGGCTATGCCCCGTGGGCTTCCGTCCAAGATGGCTGCTCAATGACCTCCAAGACGACCCCAAAACGCCTCCAAGACGGTCAAGATGGCCCCAGGAAGCCCGCAGATGGCTCTGAGATGGCCCAGAGGTCCCCCAAACTGCCTAAGATCGCCTCAAGACGGCTCAAGGAGCTCCTCCGAAGACAATCCCAAAGGGCTCCTTGAGAACCTCTCGGAGGCTCCCAGAGTCAACAAAAGTGATACTTTGCCTCAGGTGCTTGTCAGATTTTCGCGTCCGTGCATCTTCTTCGGTCTTCCAACAACCCAAGACGACCCATGAGGTCCCGAAGACTGCCCAGGATCGCTTCAAGACGGCCCAAGGAGCTCTGAAGACGGCTCAAATGGGCTCCAAGAGGATCTCCAGGAGGCTCCCAAGAATTTGAGGTTATTCTACCATCGGTGTTTGGAAGCTTCTCGCGTCCTGGCCTTTTCGGGCATCCGACAATCCAAGCTGACCCAAGAAGCTTCCAACCCATTCCGAAGACGGCCCAAGAACCCCCAAAGATGACCTCAAGGTGGGCCAAGGGAGCCCGAAGACGGCCCAAGAGGCCCGCAAGACGGCCTCAAGAGGGCTCCCGAGACCTTCACAATGGTCTAATAATGTCCCAAGAGGGACCTCCATACGGTATCCGAAAGCCAATGGGGCCCCTTAGAGGCCCACTGGCCCACAAGATGCCCCAGGAGGCCCCCGAGAGGCCCTCATGGGCCACCACGAGACACCAAGGACGCCTAAGCTCCTGCTGCTGCTGGTGGGGGTGGTGGTCGTGGTGGTGGTGATGGTGACGGTGACGGTGACGGTGATGATGGTGATGGTGGTGGTGGTGATGATGATGATGGTGGTGGTGATAGTGATGATGGTGATGGTGATACTGATGATTCTGCTGATGATGAAGATGACGATGCTGATGATGAAGATGGTGATGCTTATGCTACTGATGATGATGATGTTGATGATGATGCTGCTGCTGATGATGTTGTTGATGATGGTGATAACGATGCCGACGAGGACGATCATGATGATGGTAATGCTGGTGATGATGATGAGGTTGCTGTTGGTGATGGCAATGATGATGCTGATGATGATGCTGATGATCATTACGATGACGATGATGCTAATGCTGATGCTGGTGGTGATGATGATGCTGAGTCGGATAACGAGGCTGATTCTGATGACGATGATGATGATTCTGAAAATTGAAACTGTGATAATGAAGATAATAATGATCATGCTGCTGTTGATGATGATGTTGATGGTGATGCTGCTGATGCTAATGATGCTGAGGATTACGATGACGATGAAGATGATGATTATGGCGATGATGATGAAGATGGGAATGAATCCAAACCTGATGATGCTGATGATGATGCTGATGCTGCTGAGGATGATGATGAAGAAAGAGACGGTGATGATTATGCTTATGCTGATGATGATGACGATGATGATGATGACGATGATGATGTTGATGATTATGATGATGTTGATGATGATGATGATGATGATGATGATGATTATGCTGATGAGGCTTATGCTGATGCTGCTGATGATGCTGACGATAATGATGATGACGACTATGATGATGCTGATGATGATGACGATGATGCTGATGCTGCTGCTGATGATTATGCTGATGCTGATGCTGCTTATGATGATGATCATGACCATTATGATGATGATGATGATGATGATGATGATGAGGATGATGGTGATGATGGAGATGATGGTGATGATGATGCTGCTGCTGCTGATAATGATGATGCTGATGATGATGATGATGGTGATGATGATGATGATGATGGTGATGATGATGATGATGATGATGATGATGATGATGATGATGATGATGATGATGATGATGATGATGATGATGATGATGATGATGATCGCGCGTCCGCTGCAGTCGCGAGTGTGCCCCTTCTCGTGCCCTCTCTCTCCCCCGCCCCCCTCCTCTCTTGCCCCCCGCCCTAACCCCACCCCCCGCGGGAGTGTAGGGGACCTTGCTCGTCCCTTTCCCCTCCCCTCCCCCCCGGGAGTGTGGGTGAGGCCGGCCGCGCTCTCACACCTCAGACCTCCAGGGAGGCCTTGAACTTGGTGAACACGTTCTTCATACCCTGCGTCTTGACCACGTACGGGTGGGTCGGCGCTGCCACCTCGAGCTTCGCGTAGTACTGCTGGAACTCATCCTTCTTCCCCAGGTGCGTCATGCAGCAGCAGAGATTGACCAGCACGTCGGGATCGCTCGGCGACATGGCGAACGCCCGCTGAAGGTCCTCCTCCGCCTCCGAGTACATGCCGCGCTGCATGTTCGCCAGGGCCTTGCCGACCTGCAGCAGCGTGGACCCGCTGCCGGAGTCGTCGTCCTCTTTTGGCGGGAACTGCGCGCTCAAATCGCAGTACGTGAGGTACGCCTCCTCCGGGTCCCCCACGGCCATCTTGACCGCGGCGTTCGCCAACCGGAACACCGCCGAGTCGTCGTTGGACCCCTGCATCTCCGCCACCAGCTTCTCGGCCATGCCGGCCTGGTTGCACAATAGGCAGAACATCACGCAGAGCGCCTGCATCTCCAACGTCGGGTGCGCCTTGGTCAGCTCCGCCGCCTCTTTCCAGTTGCCGTCCATCGCGTGGGCGACCGCGGCCAGCAGGGTGCAGCTCATGTCCTGCGTCTCCTTCGCGAGCGAGAGAAGCCGCTCCTTGGCCAGGTTCCGCTGCGCATCCTGCCTCGATTTCAGCATGATCATCATGAACACCGTGGCGCGCTGCCCCGGGTACTCCGAGTTCTGCATCTCCTCTCGGCTGCCACGGAGAGGGGGGCCAGGAAGGGTAGGGTCCGCGCACCGTGGCCCGACGCACGTTCTCGGACGAAGGGGAGACAGGGGACGTGCTGAAAGCAACAGAGGGCACCATGAGCTCTAGAAGGCTTCATGGCCTTGGCCATAATATCCACACCCCCCTAGGAGGAGGAGGAGGAGGAAGAAAAAGAAGAGGAGGAGAAATGCGGCACGAGGAAGATGATGGTGATGATGATGATGATGATGATGATGATGATGATGATGATGATGATGATGATGATGATGATGATAATGATGATAATGATGATGATGGTGATGATGGTGATGATGCTGCTGCTGCTGCTGCTGATGATGATGATGATGATGATGATGATGATGATGAGTTAAGGTACCCTAATGATGAGGAGGAGGCGGAGGAGGAGGAATGCGGCACGAGGAAGATGAGGAGGAGGAGGCGGCGGAGGAGAGCCCCTCTTGAGCGCCCGGATCCTTGCTCTTGAGCCGCTCGACGACGTTGCCGGAGAGGCAGCAGCGGGCCAGCAGGGCCCCGAGTTCGCTCTGTGCAAAATCGGTGGAGGCGGTCGTGCCCTCCGCCATCGCGAGCGCCTTTTGGAAATTGCCGACGTAGAAGTTGTCACGAACCTCTCGGGTCGAACGAACAGGGGGGGGGGCAGTAAAGGGTGGATTGACGGATCCGCTCGCGCAGACTATTTTCCAGCCGTCTGGAGGCGCCAGTGTAGCCAAGCATCGAGGAACAGGACTCGCGGCGGAGCCGAAAACAGCTGCCTGGAGCTGATTTCGTAACTCGTCCCCCCGCCCCTTTCACTGACCCCCCTCTTTTGTCCGACCAAAACCTCCTGGAGCTCATCGTCCGCCATGGCTCCGGGCTTGCGCGGAGGATGACCTCAGGCCGTCTCGTATGGGATCGGAATGGCCTTGAGACGAAGCGGCTCTGGCGGAAGCTGATGATGATGATGATGATGATGATGATGATGATGATGATGATGATGCTGATGCTGATGCTGATGATGCTGATGATGCTGATGATGCTGATGATGCCGATGATGCCGATGATAATGATGATAATGATGATGATGATGATGATGATGATGATGATGATGATGATGATGATGATGGTGGTGGTGGTGATGATGATGATGATGATGATGAGACGACGACGACGAGAGGTCTCCTTAGGTCCCTGGAGGCCCCCAAATGCTCCCCCTACTCCGCGTTACGCCCCCAAGCTTGATCCTCGACCCTCGATGCTCGAACGAGGGATCCTCTGCCAAGGCAGCATGGGCCTCAGGGTTCCCCTCTTCCTCCCTGTTCCGTCCTACCTTCTCCCCTGTGCTCCTCCTCCTCCCTCCCTCCTCCTCCTCCTCCTCCTCCTCCTTCCCCTCCGCCTCCTCCTCCTCCTCCTCCTCCTCCTCCTCCTTCCATCCATCCTCGTCGACGTTTTCTTATTTGGCGTTTCGACATTGAGCGGAAGGTGGGGTGGAAAGGGGGGGTCTGGCTCCAGACCTCTGCTTAATGCGACTGTTTGCAACAGTGCGTCATATGGGGGAGGCTCCGCCTGCTCGAAACAGGCGCCCAAAACAGCCAAGATCTGCTCATTTGGAGGGTGGGATGGGGGGTGCAGGGCCTGCGCCGATCGGCGAAACAAAGAATAAGAAAACGATCACCTCCCTGCTCCGTCCTCTTCTTGTTCCTACTCCTTCTTCTCCTTCCTCCTCCTCCTCCTCCTCCTCCTCCTCCTCCTCGACGCTGACGGCGAAGGGTCCTGAGCGACTGCAGCGTGGGCCTCAGGGTGCCCACGCCGGCAGGCACCGTCGTCAGCGACACCACCACCCGCGGGTCGGAGGCCGTCCGACGGACGGGCAGCAAAGTGGCCCCTGCTGGCAACGGGGGAAGGTGTGCTTTCCCTCCCCCCCCTCCTTCGTTGGGTCTGCATTTCGAACAAATTGCAGCTGCCTTCTTCTTCTCCTCCTCCTCCTCCTCCTTCTTCTTCTTCCTCCTCCTCCTCCTCCTCCTCGTCCCTTCGGTCCCCTGCCTGCCTTCTACCTACCTGCCTCTACCTCGCATCCTCGGGTGTTGCCCACGGCGCAGCGGTCGCCACTTTCGTGAGCTCCTGGGGGTTCAGCGGGGTGCGGTCTTCTGTTGGGTCCAAGCTAGACCTCGGCTCCGTAGGGGGCTGCCAGCAGCGCAACTTTCGCCACTTTTGCGTGATCCTGGGAGGTTCAGCGGGGTGCGGTCTTGCAAAGGTCCAAATTAAGCGTCGCCTCATCGGGGGCTGCCACCGGAGTGTGGTCTTAAAACGATCCAGGCTAGAGCACTTCTGGGGGCCGACAGCTGCGTAACTGTCGCCACTTTCGTGCGCTCTTTTGAAGTCCAGCGGGGTGCGGTCTTCAAGCTATTCAAACTAGAACCACTCTTCTGAGGGCTGCCAGCAACGCAACTGTCGCCAATGTCCGGAGCTCGTAGGAGTTCCAACGAAACGCGGTCGCAATGCGATCCGACATAAAACCTCGCCCCCCTATGGGGCTGTCAGCGGCGCAACCTTCGCCACTGTCGTGAGCTCTTTGGAGGTATCACGGGACGCGGTCTTTAACTGATCCGAACTATCGCCTCCTGGAGGCCGGCGACAACGCCACTGTCACCACTGTCGTGAACTCCGGGGAGGTCCAGCTGTAAAAGGGGTGCGAAGTAGACCTCGCCTACCTGAGGGCTGCTAACATCACAACTGTCGCCACGTTCGTGAGCTCCTTGGAGGACCAGCAAGATATGGGTTATTGCAAACTGGACCTCGCCTCCCTGGGAGCTGTCAACTGTCGCTGCGTTCGTGGGATCTTGGAGGGGCTCATGTAAAACTGCCAGGAACTGGCACGGGAGGTCGATCTTGCTCGGTCCTGCGTGGAAATTTCTTGAATAGCGAGGGGGAGACCCACTCGTCACCGCATCAATCCGCATGTCATGCTGTCCCTTATCATCGCATCTAATCTTCCTCGTCCTCGATCTTCCTCGCTCCCCTGCTTCCCTCTCGTCCTCCTCTCCTCCCCCTCTCCCCAGTCCTCGTCAGCGCCACATTTTCTCTTTTCTTGCGCTCCATTGCGTCCTCTGTCTCTCTTCGTCGTTTTTTGTTGTATTTATGTTATATATCGGAGGTGAGGGGGTGAGATCGAAGTGGAACGGAGAGCCCCCCTACGGGGAAATCGATTTCGGTTTCGTGTTCGTGCGTGCCGTGCGGGCGAGGCGAAGCTGCGTGGGCGGGCGAGAGAAAGTCTCCTGTGGCTGAGGCGCGGCCGGACCAAATGATTCCCTTCCGGGCGGCCGGGGCCCCGCGGTGTCCCGCCGGTGTCCCGCTGGTGTCCCGTGTGGCTGAGGCGCGGCCGGATCAAATGTCTTCCTTCCGGGCGGCCGGGGCCCCGCGGTGTCCCGCCGCCTGGGTGTCCCGTCGGTGACCCGATGATGATGATGAGGATGAGAATGAGGATGAGGATGATGAAGATGAAGATGAAGATGAAGATGAAGATGAAGATGATGATGATGATGATGATGATGATGATGATGATGATGATGATGATGATGATGATGATGTTGATGTTGTTGATGATGATGGTGATGATGATGTTGGTGTTTTATTTTGATGATCGATAGTGAGATCGATAGTGAGGTCGAATGTGAGATCGATAGTGAGATCGATAGTGATATCGATTGTGAGATCGAGCGTGAGACCGAATGTCAGATCGATTGTGAGATCGATTGTGAGATCGATAGTGGTATTGGTAGTGAGATCGATTGTGAGACCGAATGGGAGATCGATTGTGAGATCGGTTGTGATATCGATAGTGAGATCGACAGTGAGACCGAATGTGAGATCGATAGTGGGATCTATTGTGAGATCGATTGTGAGATCGATTGTCAGATCGATTGTGAGATCGATCGATTGAGATTGATAATGATATCGATAGTGAGTTCGATAGTGAGATCGATGGTGAGACCGAATGTGAGATCGATTGTGATATCGGTTGTGATATCGATAGTGAGATCGGTAGTGAGACCGAATGTACGATCGATAATGAGATCCAAAGTGAGTTCGATAGTTAGATCGATAGTCAGATCGAATGTGAGATCGATTGTGGGATCGATTGTGAGATCAATAGCGAGACCGAATGTGAGATCGATTGTGAGATCGATTGTGAGATCGATAGTCAGATCGATTGTGAGATCGATCGATTGAGATGGATTGTGAGACCGGTAGTGAGTCCGATAGTAAGATCGATCGAGTGCCACGTTGGTCCCTCCCCCCCCTCACCTCCTTATCACCCGAAGGGTGGTCGTATAGGTATATATATATATATATCTTTCAAAGCATACATCCCCCTGCTCTCTTGACTGTCTTCTTTCTCTTGGCCACCGTTGCCCGACTTTCTTCCCCCGTCCATGTCATATCTAAGGTAGTGCAAACCATGAGGCCCATGCGGCGAGCAACGAGTAGCCCACCCCCTGTGCAACTTGCGCAAATGATCGCATCCCTTGTCATATCATTCTTTCTTTGGGTTGGTCCCTTGACCTCGGCAATTGACTCGGGTGGGTTGGGTAAGCGGTTCTTCCTTCCTCGTGTGCTTGCTCCCCCCTTCACCCCTCCTTCTCTTCTCTCTGGGTGACGGGGAAGGAGGAAGGATGAGGGAGGAACGATGGCGAACAAGTCTGCGTACACGTCTGTAGGGGTTCTGAGAGTCTTTGCGGTACACAATGCTTGTCCAATGTGTTCTTGGTCGACTCCTTGGGTGATTGACGGACAGTCGTGAGGTGTGTTTCCGATGCGGGGAAGAATACCAGCACCGCTACCGTTGTCGAACTTCTCGTTTTCGTTGTCGGGCTCTTTTTCCCAACCATCCTGTGGTGTTGGGTCCTCGTTTTGAAGAGACGGTGCCCCGCGTCTCCTCTCCTTCCTTCCTTCCTCCTCCTCCGCCTCCTCCCTCCTCCCACCCCTCACACGTTTCGTGGCCCCATAGGGAGCTCCACCGCAGGCCCCAGTGGCCGCGTCCACATGGCGGCGCCGCACCCATTTCGGCACACCCCTCACACTTTTCGTGGCCCCATAGGGAGCTCCACCGAAGGCCCCAGTGGCCGCGTCCACATGGCGGCGCCGCACCCATTTCGGCACACCCCTCACACGTTTCGTGGCCCCATAGGGAGCTCCACCGAAGGCCCCAGTGGCTGCGTTGGCGGCGCCGCACCGGCGGCCCCCGAAGGCACCGCATTTCGGCACACCCCTCACACGTTTCGGCACACCCCTCACACGTTTCGTGGCCCCATAGGGAGCTCCACCGAAGGCCCCAGTGGCTGCGTCCATGGCGGCGCCGCACCCATTTCGGCACACCCCTCACACGTTTCGTGGCCCCATAGGGAGCTCCACCGAAGGCCCCAGTGGCTGCGTCCGCATGGCGGCCCCACCCATTCCGGCACACCCCTCACACGTTCGTGGCCCCATAGGGAGCTCCACCGAAGGCCCCAGTGGCTGCGTTCGCATGCGGCCACCACCCATTTCGGCACACCCCTCACACGTTTCGTGGCCCCATAGGGAGCTCCACCGAAGGCCCCAGTGGCTGCGTTCGCATGGCGGCGCCGCACCCATTCGGCACACCCCACACGTTTCACCGGCCCCAGTGGCTGCGTTCGCATGGCGGCGCCACCCCTCACACGTTTCGTGGCCCCATAGGGAGCTCCACCGAAGGCCCCAGTGGCTGCGTTCGCATGGCGGCGCCGCACCCATTCGGCACACCCCTCACACGTTTCGTGGCCCCATAGGGAGCTCCACCGAAGGCCCCAGTGGCTGCGTTGGCATGGCGGCGCCGCACCCATTTCGGCACACCCCTCACACGTTTCGTGGCCCCATAGGGAGCTCCACCGAAGGCCCCAGTGGCTGCGTTCGCATGGCGGCGCCGCACCCATTTCGGCACACCCCTCACACGTTTCGTGGCCCCATAGGGAGCTCCACCGAAGGCCCCAGTGCTACCGCCCTCATGCGTCCCGTACGCCCAGGACAGCGTTTCGTGGCACGCCTTTCGTGGCCCCATAAGGAGCCCCACCGAAAGCGGCACCCACAAAGCGTTATTCACAATTGCATGTGGTTGGGTCCTTCGCCAAGGTAATTTTCTGTTTCCTGCCTCTGGCAAGTTCGTTGTTGGCCTCGACCAATCCCATCGTATTAGACGTGCGAGCGGGAAGATGAGGAGCAGGAGGAGGGGAGATAAAGGATAACATGAAAGGAAACCCGAGCATAAGCAAAGGAACGACATGCGAACGCAGGCCGATACGGATTCTGCTTCGCGAAGTACATGCGCGTGTATTGTACTCGCGAAAGCTTTGCGGCAATTGGTAAGGTCGTCAGTGGTCATGTAGGTCGGGATGGCGATGGCGAGCGTCACGAACATCATATGGGCGGAGAACGTCCCAACGGCCGTGGGGGCAGCTCCGCTACCGTGTCGGAGGCGGTTCGGTGTATGCGGCGGAGAAGTCCCAGTCGGTGATGGGGGTATCAAGGTAGACCCACACCTAAGTAAGAGGATCCCTGCCGCAAGGCGCATGGACTGTGCACTCTTCTAGTCACATCGCAAATGCAGAAACCGATCGCATCGTCTCCTTTCCGTCGAACAGTACCATGCGATGCAAGCACGCAGGTACGACAAAAGAAAGCAGCTTGCGCTCAATTTGAGCCCCAACGACCATGAGGGAACAACCATGCGCAATCTATTTCATACGGTTCCTATAACCCCGCAGGCCTTTCTTCAACAGGCCAAGACGGGCGTCACGATCGAGGGTTCCCTGATTGGCTGAAGACGACACAAGACATCCCATAAACGGCCCAAGAGAGCCCCAAGAAGGCCCC